CCCATCTCTCTTCCTCGAAACAAAAATAAACGATATGTAATTGCCGGCTTTAGAAACCTAAAGTCAGCCTTTGTCAAACTACGCCTAGACTCCCTTTGGATCCATTTGCACATTAAACATCCTTTGGGATTCTATGGATGTCATGGCTATCCCCACCTCCCGGTAAAGTTAGCACACAGCTGACTGAGCTTGTGGTGAATTGCTTATTGCCTACCAATTCTCAGACATATAAGACACTATGTAAATAAATAAGTCAGTATCTGAAGGTCACTAAATGACATTAAGGTAGTCTGCTTTGGCTAAATACATAACACGGCCCTTACTTGGGGAATCAGACATCATAAACAGTGCAAACAACCCTTCACATTGCCTACATATTGCAAGAGTTTACTGCCATGCATAGCTGTAAACTTATTTAATAGTGAGACTAAAACACAAGAATATTTATAGGCAAGATACATATTAACATTTTTCTGGGAAAGCAAAATATGTGTAAACTGTAAAACAGCATTGACTTATGCAAGGACAGTGAAAAACAGCTATTTCATCTGGTCACGAGCTGTTAAAAATATTTCACTTACCTTTTTAGTAGAGCAATAAAGTTCTCTTTAGAAAAATTAAGAGTCTCAGTAGCCTATAAATAAAACCTGAGGAATGCCTCTATTTCCACACTGAAAACAATTACAGCTAATTCGACTATCAAGAAGAAAATACAGAAGAGCAAATCAAAGACGATTTGGATGCAGCCCTGAATCTTTCCCTTTCACATCAGTTTCTTGAACTATTTTGACCATTCTCTCAATCCAACCCTCCTTGGTCATCTCTTGCTCCATGATCTGTCCCTCCCTCTTTCTTCTTTCCTCTATTAGTGCTGAGCCGGCCTTTTGACAACACAAACTCTGGCTAGGCAAAATACACACAGACACACACAACAGAAGAGCAATAATATAACATTACAACAAAACAGTACACATATACAATCTTTTTGAGTTCCCTTTTATTCCACAAAATAATATTTAAGTATTTCACAAACAGTGACACAAACAATCCAGTTAAGAGTTGCTTGGCAATGTATGTACACACACATACTTTGTAGCATTTAATGAGCCATGTCTTAACATGTGAGGCTTGGCATAATTGGCTTTGCCACTAAACAAATTAGAGTAATATTGAGCAAAAAAATGGTCTTTTGTTGCTTTGAATGTGGCCTTTTCTCACTTTGTTGCTTTATCAGTTTGATCTTGCAACTGTAAGAGTGTAAACTGCCGTTTTAAATCCTCATCGGTGCCTTAAAAATGTCAAAAAAACTATAAAAACCTTTAAAGGGTTTCGAAGTGATGATGGAGTGCTGTAGCTTTTCACAGTAAAGTCAATTAGTTCAGGCAGCTCATGGACAGTCTTGTAAAGGAAGGGTCCCGTCATTTTGTTCCTTAGTGGACATACTTTTTTTTTTTGATTGTGCATCAGAGTGATGTCATATCTTGTACCTCCAGTAGCATGGCGTCCTGCTCTGTTCTTAGCTGGTCCCTTGTGAGAAGTCGACCCACCAGCTCTGAACTGAGGTCTACAAACATACACAGACATATGATTATTTATTCACAACAGACATCATCAATGTAATGTAACAGTTAATACTTTGGCTTACCATGGATGTCTTTGCTTAGTGAGGTCCTCAATGCTTTCAACTCCTTCAAGCTGAAATTCTTTAAGTCGTTTCGTTCATAGTGCTTCCTTTCTCTGACAGCCTCACTGGGAGGTATAGTCTGTGATGGGGGTCAGTGGAGTGCAATTATGACTTTGAATATATATACACAACTATTCAAAAGTTTAGGGTCGGTAAGACTTTTAAAATGTAAAATCTCTTATGCTCACCAAGGCTGCATTTATTTGATCAAACATGCAGTAAAACAGTGAATTTCACGTATCCTTGCTGAATTAAAGCATTATTTATTTATATTTTTTTTAAATCTTACTGACCCTAAATATTTGAATGGTAATGTGCAGAACATGGCATTTACATAACTAATACAAACTAATACCTAACTATTTGAATAGATGTGCTTCTTGAAATTAACAAATACATAAAATGAAATACACACTTAGGACACGAGACCATGAATATGTCCTCTGTTCCAACCTGTTTTTGCTCCAATCTCAATTTATGTCTGAGTACACTCAGCGCAGCTCTGACATCATTCTTGAACCCTCTTGATTTGGTTTTCTTTGTCGATGCAGAGCTTGAACCACATTCCTTCTCTAACCTCTGATTGCTGCCACTCTTACGAGACTGTTTTGCCACCTGAAAAGGTAGCAAAGAGTGCAACAAAAGCAATTATTAATCTTACCAAGTATAAATCTCATCATTAAACAGACATGAACAAAACTGTATGTTTTTATCTCGATCCATCTGAGCACTACACCCACTGAAGTTGTTCACATTATTCACATCACAGTATGTTGCCACCCACTTCCACTAACAGTGAAAATGGCAATACTGCTATTTATTTGACCTCTTTCTTTGCCTCCATTTCCTCTTCTTCCTCTTCACTTTCACTGTTGTTGATGAAGCAGAGCTGTAGATTCATCTGGCTCTGAAGCCTAGTATAATAAAGCACAATTGCTATAGATTTTATTCAAATTCTGAAGAAGTGGAAAGAAAGGAAATTGAGATTGATTAAATCTGTGTGACCTTGATGTCAGAGCAGTCAGACGACTGTTGCATTCGTCCTCCATGTCCTCACAGGGCTCTCTGTGACTGCTCAGCCCTCTGATTTCTGGCCAGTCTACTGTCAGCCTGTCCAAGTCCTGCAGAGAATTATTTTTTTTTTATATAAATCCATGGCAGCCGTTATTGTAAATAAATAGTCAAGGACTCGTACTAGCAAAAGAACTGTAGCTCTTGTCAACCCAAAACAAAGTGTCATCTGTTTTTTTTAATCTTTTACCATTTAAGGCACATTACTATCTTTACTTTCATTCAGACCTTTTCCCTCTGTCTCCGCTCTTCTTGTTGCTTCTCAAGTTCAGCAATACGAAGACTCAGATCCTCCCAGTGCATGATGGGTAAGCCCAGTTCATCATCAGGGTATCCCTCGTGCCATAATAAGGCTGCCCCCTCTGCATCCTCCTCTGTCTCATCACTCTCTTTTTCATCTCCTCTCTCCAGCTCTTTTTCTTTTTCTCCATCCATTCTCAAGGTCCCTGACAGAATAAGAGTGAGGATCAAGAAGACAATATATTTAATAAAATAATAATAATAATAATAAAAACTGGCATCATCAGATCAGAGCCAACTAACCCATATATGGCAAACTGTTTTAACATGTATTCTTTAAAATGAACTTGTATCTATGTTTGTTTATAGTACTCAGAACTATAAAGTACTTTTTAATTATACTATACAGTACTTTAGTGTCTAGTACCTTTTTCAGTTTCACTAATATTATTCAATGAGACCCTAGTACATACTATCTTTTATTTATTTGCTACTAGTACTAAAGGTGATTCAATTCTATGGAGTTCTGTGGTTCATATATCACAACAGACCATGTATTCAATTAATTCTGGTACCTATTCCGTTTTTAGTATTTGTTTATTAAGTACTAGTAGGCTACTTATTCTTGTAACTTTTAATAATTCAAAATAGTTACCAATGTCTTCAGTTTTCTTAGTTTTACTAAAACAAACACTAGTCCCTAAATATTAGACACTAGTGTGTATTGATACTAGTAACATTTGACTTAGTAAAACAGCTCGTAATGCAACGTCTGGGGTTTGTTTGCCTTTCACAGAATATGGACGAAAATGATTTCATCTTTTTTTTTTTTTCCTAGAAACGTTCCAGAACATGAGGGGCCATACTTCTGTATTACCTCAGAAACGGCAATATCCCAAAACATCAACTCTTAACAAATACTGACTGGTTTGGAAATTAGGTTTAAATCATAAACATGAAAATATTTCAGTATTTTACGTAATTTATACATTCCACTTATTTAAAAGTATGTTGATGTAGCCGTGTGCTATCACGTTTGGCCACGCATTGCACTGACACAATGCATCGTAAAAACTGCTGTATTGCTTAGTTTTTAGAGGTATACTTACTTTTTTGGTGGAATGTGTTTGCAAACTATGCCCTGCTGTCAAAAATCATACATTTTCATAGTTTTCTTGGACTTTACAACTTGTTATCCTCCGCGCTGTCCCGTTAATCGCCCTCCTCCTCCTCTAAGTTATCCCCTTTCACTCGTTTTCATCCATGGAGATGAATGTTCTATCTCTTTTCCGCTCCTTACACTACGTTCTTTAGAGGGTTACATCTATTGATTTTCATCTATTCAATCAATCCAACATTTTGTTCCTTAAACATTTCTCAACGCCGACAGCCAAAAACTAAAGGAATTCGGCGATGTTTTGTTCTGGGGAGAGAACGTGAAGGGAGGAGAATGAGCAAAGAGTGAAAAAAGTAACCACTTCAGGTGTCCAGTTTCAGTCACGTATGCTATTATTACGAAAGATTAGTGAATAAATCCTTAAAATATGTTGTCCATAACTCCTAAAAATGGTTGCACAATATGTTTGTTGCTAACATGAAAAGAAAACCGCTTGGGTTTAGGTGTCAAATGTCAACAAGTCTAAACATGCCTCATCTGTTACGGCAAAACTGTACGTTAACCATCAGTGAACTGCAGGGTTTGTGTTTAAGAACATTTAGATTAAGGCTCGGCTGAAAACAAAACATCCTTTAAATAACTTCATAATTCAAGGACTATAAACTTTCAATGCTCAAAACAATCAGGTCGCTGGTGTTATATTTGATCAGTTTATTTGGTCTAATAAACCAAGCAGAAGATGACTGCAATAGAGCTAGATTGTTGTGAATAGACAGAACTCTGAATATTCTTCTTCTTGGTTTTATGCCGAGTCCCTCTGAATATTAATGAAGTGCTTATTGATTTGCTTAAAGTTTGTTTCAAACTCTTTATGACTGTGCGCTCGAGTCGGGAGTCACTGTACTTCCGCTTCCTCTAAAGTCAGCTGATTTAATCGCGTGACTGTTGACATCGCTCTTACCGAGGCCAAAACAACTTGAAAGTTACTTCTAAAAGTTCAAATAACGGTCCTCTACGGGCTTCTGTTATAGAAATGGCTTCTTTGCTTTTCTGCGGTCCTAAACTGGCAGCATGTGGACTGGTCCTGAGCATTTGGGGTGTCGTTATGCTGGTAAGTTAAATATTCTCTATCGTGTCACTATTCTTCTGTTTTCTATACATGGTTTATACATGCTGAAAGGTCATTACAATACATTAAGCATATCTTACTTTTTTGGTAAAATAAATTGCCTTCACTCATAATGTCAACAATAACGCACAGTTCCCATTGTCCTGGAAAGCTTAGAAATATCAGGGAAGAATAAAAGTTAGATTTGCAGGCCTGGAAAAGTAATGGAAATGTCTAGTCAATATAATTTTAGCTAAAGTATTTATTCATTTAGCTAGAAATTGCTCTTTGTGAGGCCTGTCATTATAAAAATGTTGATATTATCCAGTCACTACAAACTACTTGAAAAGTCATGGGGGTGAAAATCATAAAGGTGTGGGGACACTGAATATGAAAACTAGCAGACAGTGCCAGTGAAGGGAGAAGTACAGCCCTACACCATAACCAACATTTTCCTTCTTATTTCTCTTAGGCAATGTTGGGGATTTTTTTCACCACACATTCAGCTGTGCTCATAGAGGATGTACCTTTCACGGAGGAAGACTTCAAGTCAGTTCCTTTTGCCATTTACTCATTTAGTTACGCTGGAAAATAAGTCTGTCTAGCATAGGGAATGTCACGTGTATTCACAAGACTTCATGACTGTTTTTCCCCCCTCAGTCTGTCCAAAAGTGTAGTCCAGTCCTGTTAAAGGTGTTTAGGCTGTTTTCAAACACGATTCTTTTCTCTCCTCTCATTTCAGGGGGGAAGCACTGCAAAACATCTATAAATTGTACAACCAAGTTGGATACAATTGCTTCATTGCAGCAGTACTCTATGTAGGCATAGGATTCTTGTCATTTTGTCAGGTTCGCCTGAACAAGCGCAAGGAATATCTAGTGCATTAGTACCACCTAGTGATTGGAGTATTACTCTACCTCTAAATTCCCTTGTGTTTGTATGTAATAATGCTCCATGTGCCTTAAAATGACTCTTAAATGAATGTAGATAATTGGATGGAATAGGATAATGCATTTTACTGTGATTTTCTTTATTGCCTTTCTATCTTGAAGCCTATCAAATATAAGATGTGTGCTCCTGCCCATTATTATTATGTGGTACTTCATTACTTTACCTTCTATAGTGCTATTTTGATCTGTGGACCTACCAAACACTGCCGATAAATGATTTAATTGTGATTTTATTTATACTTAACACACCTCTCAAATATACAGTCTCATTAAGTACATGTTCAATGGAATTTCACATGGTCACATTGGTTCTGTTTTCACAATAAATGACTGAAAATGATTTTGCCTATGCAATTTGTCACTATAGGAGTGTAGACCTGGTCTCCGTAAACATGGTTCTAAAATTACAGACCATTTTTTTAGATTTAGATTTTTTTACAACTGGAGACTTTCAAAACTTTAACTACTGAAGGTTTTAAATGGTATTAAACAATCGATATAAAAAAATGAAACCGACTTTATTTGCTATGGAATGTACAAAGCATGTTTTTTCATATAGCTGTTAGGTAAAAGTATAACAGTAATGCATGTTTCATTGTCTTCATCTGGGAAAAATGTTTACTATATACATGTAGCATATATGAAGTGCATTTTATGAAGCTTACCACATTTATTAAAGAATACGGTGGTTAGTAAAAATCCACAGAAAACAATTCGGTACCATCCAAACAGTGCCTTATGAAATAAAGTTTAAAAAGACTTTTATTTTTAGGTTTTATTATTTTCAAAAGTAAAAATAAATACTGTTAACAAAATTGAATGTAAAAAAGCTTAATGCCCTGATTCTTTTAAAAAATGTTACATACTAAATTAATTACATAATTATGTCACAGTATTTCTGGTGTCAGGGATGCCGTTCCGTAGAAAGGAATTAGCCTCAGCTATAGCTAAGAAAGGTACTTTGGGTGTTATTTGAATGTGTGCTAATTTTACGATTTAGCTGACCTACGCACGAAAATGTTCACAGACACATAATTATACTCATAAATGTAGAATGAGTGTTTTCTCTAAATGGTGATGCTATTTTCCATGCGGCTTGGACACAGATAAAGGTACTGCAGTTCTAGTCCCTCATTCTGAGCTATTATATGCTCCTCCAGTTCTTTCAGCTCCTTTCTGAATTTATCAATCACTTTCAAAGCAGCAGGCTCAGTAAAGTACTGTTCCACATACTGGCCCATTGGAATCTGAAGAAAAGAGGAAACAGAATTGTTGAAGTCATCATTGTGATACTTTATTAAAGGCTAAATTTTAATGCTTCATGGAAAGACATTTCTTTTGGATGGATATAGTCTGATGTTACTTATATGGATTATACTGTAATTTATATGACCATAAATAATGTAAAAGTTGTGACAGCCTGTGCTATTGACTCACTGCATCCGGCTGTGCTCTGCCCAAATGCCATGTGATGGCCATTTGCACACAGGACTGGCTGATATCGGGGAGTGTGTCCATGATCAGGTCCATGGTGACAGCATCCTTATCTGTTGGTGGAGGGTGCCGCATGGTGCAGGGCGTATTGGGTACCCATGCACACCAATCAAACTACAGTACAGAGACGAAGATCAACAGTGATCACAATAAAGCTATGTAATGATTTTTAACCCTTAGGTAACACACTTCATGTAAATGATAGTGTTTCTGGTAACCTGCATTCAATATAGTGTAGAAAAAGTAGGTTTTTATATTTGATAAGATGTGATGTGTTAGTTACCTGTCCATTATTGGTGGCAGCATGTTGTGCTGTGCTGGTAAAGATTACCACGCTTAACAGTGTGATGAGTTCTTCTTTTGTCTTCAGCTCACTAGCTAGGCCTGACATGCAAGAAACAAACAATTACTCCTAATTTCAAGTGCCATTTATTTAGCTCATGTAGTTCATTGTGATTAGACCCATACTAAGGGCAAGTTTCTTCCTCTAATGACCACATGGGGGCACTATATTCTTATCCTTTATGTTCTTTATTACTTCCTTTTCCTGTTTTATCTTGACTTAATGGTGTATCTGGCATGTATAATGTGCATATACATCCCCCTGATGTCTTTTGACATTTTTAAAATTCAATACTGGTGACCTGTATTTGGTATGATTGTATAGGATGATTTATATTACCGTCCAAAAATTTGAGGTCGGTAAGATTTATTTTAAAAAGTCTCCTGTTCTCACCAAATTAGTCCCTTATACTGCACTTAATTGATCAAAAATACAGTAATATTGTGAAATATTATTGCAATTTCAAAATAACTGTTTTCTATCTTAATATATATTTAAATGTTATTCATTCTTGTGATGGCAAAGTTGAATTTTCAGCAAACATTACTCTAGTCTTCAGTGTCACATAAAACACTTATTATTATCAATTTTGAAAACAGCTGTACTGCTCAATATTTTTGTGGCAACCAAGATGCATTAAATACAATTTCAAAAGGACAGCATTTATTTGAAACAGAAATCATTTATAACATCTGAAATGTCTTTACTGTCACGTTTGTTCAATTTAATGCATCCTCCCAAATAAAAGTATTAATTTCTTTTAAAAACATGGTACTGACCACAAACTTTCGAACTGTAGTGTATATTGTCAAGCCTAAATAAATACACTGCACAGGGTTCTAAATATATTCTTCATCCACTACAGGACATTTGTGAGTCCAATGATGCAGTCATGTATTCATATCTTACCAAAATGTGGCACATCCACAAAGCCCTCCACAGCCACCTCATTAATCCACGCCTGAATTTCTGAGTCCTGTTCAACTTCACGATCACTCTTGTAGTACAGGGAAACTATTCCTGAAACAAAACTAAGAGTGGAAAAAGAGTGCTTAAAGAAATAGGTCTGATAATACAAGAGTTTTATAATTATATGCACTGCTTCATTCACATGCAAACGTCTCAAAGAATTATGCCCATAGTACATCTACAGTCATAAGAATTAAAAGCACTGAATAAAGAAATCCTATTTAAATAAATTACTTTTGAATGACATCCCACAGCATCAGAGAATGGTCCCTGTAGAAATAGTTTCTTAGTTTAGTAACTCCTCTGTCCAAGAAGTCAAATTTGGGCTGGAGGGAGCGATAGGTTAAAACTTCATACTCCCTCTGTGCCAGAATCAAGAGTCCATCTCCACCTGTTGATACCACCTGAAAAACACAATTTTTGACATTTATGACCAACTGAGTGAATTAAAAATACACTAGTTATGTCGTCTGTGGTTGGCTAGTTTCAGGGGGGTGATAAGAACCCGGACCACTAAAAATCTGGTCGCCGTGATTTTGCCAAGTAAGACATGTTCCTGGATCAACATCTTTTGTTGATCCTAGATCAACATTACTGTCCAAAAATATAGACTAAACCCACCCTAAACCTAACCCTACCCATAATTTATTCCTAAAATCAGAGGGAAATGATAGCTGATTAACAAGGGTGTAGAAGCACCTAACCCTGATCGTAAGCCTAAAACAGATATTTCCTGAAAAGTTATCCCTCAATTCTGATTGGTTGATTGGAATGTTGTTCCAGGATCAACAAGGATGTTGATCCAGGAACATGTTGCACTTGGTGAAATCACACTCACAAATAAGATTATTGTAGAGGTCCTGAACATTATTTTGGCGGCAGGCTTTGATCTGAAGGGTTCATATTCTGAGCTGTCCACTAGCAAACTACATTGTGTACAGATGCTCACCCTTTTGAAGATGCCATCTGGGGAGATCAGCTGTGTTCTGCCACGACAGTTAATCTCAAGTGTATACCTCAGGTGTGGAGCCAAGAGCTGCAATGAGAGAAAAAGTGACAGAAAGAAAAAGTGAAGAAGAGTCTTAACATACAGCACAGCTGGATAATTTAATGAACGACTAGCGATTTTGATGCATCAGTGATTATCTAACTTCAAACATGCAAATGTATCTTTCCTAAAAAGCACTTCCTGTAGACTTCCTCTAACCTTATATATAGGGTGAACAGCAGGCAGCTGTCGCAGTGTGGCCACACAGATCACTTCTACCACCAAGTGTGTGCGTAACAGATGTGATAACAACTGAAAGACCTGGAACTCAGAGTGACGAACCCACATCTTTGCCAATAACCAGGCCAGAGGTGGATCGCTAGGTAGAAATACGGGTGTGTCCTTATCAGGTTTCTGTTCAAGCTGAAAGGAAGGGAGAAGAACAATCAGACATTTCAGATTTTTTACATCAGTGTTTGACAGTTCATTTCTGAATAGGTTCCTGTAATGTTACTATGATTGTTACATTAATACCCTATCTGCAATGTACAGATGCTCACCCTTTTGAAGATGCCATCTGGGGAGATCAGCTGTGTTCTGCCACGACAGTTAATCTCAAGTGTATACCTCAGGTGTGGAGCCAAGAGCTGCAATGAGAGAAAAAGTGACAGAAAGAAAAAGTGAAGAAGAGTCTTAACATACAACACAGCTGGATAATTTAATGAACGACTAGCGATTTTGATGCATCGGTGATTATCTAACTTCAAACATGCAAATGTATCTTTCCTAAAAAGCACTTCCTGTAGATTTCCTCTAACCTTATATATAGGGTGAACAGCAGGCAGCTGTCGCAGTGTGGCCACACAGATCACTTCTACCACCAAGTGTGTGCGTAACAGATGTGATAACAACTGAAAGACCTGGAACTCAGAGTGACGAACCCACATCTTTGCCAATAACCAGGCCAGAGGTGGATCGCTAGGTAGAAATACGGGTGTGTCCTTATCAGGTTTCTGTTCAAGCTGAAAGGAAGGGAGAAGAACAATCAGACATTTCAGATTTTTTACATCAGTGTTTGACAGTTCATTTCTGAATAGGTTCCTGTAATGTTACTATGATTGTTACATTAATACCCTATCTGCAAAATTCATGTTTTGATACTTTGTCTTTAATTCAAATGTATTTCTCTAAAAAAAAAAAAAAAAAAGTCTCTTCTTTTTGGTAAAAAACACAAACATAAACATTTTCGGCAGATGGAGGCAGGAGTAAGATTTGGAAAACCCTGCTGTAGATTCATCCTAGTTTATGTTTCCGAATATATGTGAGTCAGCAAGTTTTACCTGTATGGCGATGGGAATGAGACCTTTCTCAGGATGTTCATATAGTAAGCAAAGCGGGGCAGCTATGTGCTGCACCTGGTCTCTGATTACATTGGCAGGAATCCCATCCATTATTGCATGATCAACCAGGAATATATTTCCTTTCTTTAGTAGGAGAGACAACGAAACATAATCAGGTCCACTGTTCCAATAATCCATTGTATTTAAGAAAATAAACACTAAACTCTCACCTTGAGTTCTTCCTTCAAAGTGGTTGTAGGTATAAGAGAAGACTGCACCATGTCTCCCGTGACAAGGAAGTTCGAGGGCAGCTCCTTGCACCTGGTAATCATTCTTGGGTTTGA